TTTGCACTGCTGGCCTCGAGGTTAGCGGCCCAGCGTGGAATCCACAGCCCCACGGGCTCTGCGGAGAGGCAGGCTGGTTGGCATTTCCTGCCCAGCCAGTGGCGTCCGCAGTGCCTTCCTGGCCTGCTTGCCCCCTTTATCCACCCATGTCTTAGGGTGCATTGGCTTCTTGGTTAGGGAGTTTTGTGTACGGCTCTGTGTCGGGGGCTGTCTCAGTGTCCCACAGCTGTCATCTCAAACTACCAAGAATGCCACTGCACGCGTGGCCCTGTTGGGTGAGCATTGGCCTGCTGACCACAAGGCAGGGACACACGTGAGCACGTGGCATTCCTGTGGCGGCTCCCGCAAATGGGTCACCTGCGTCTGGCATCAAGCAGGTTGCCGAGCGATGCCACAGGCTCAGGCCCGTCCAGTCAGGAGGGGAGCTCTGCAGGGCACCGTGCCGGGGCTGCGCTCCGTTTCACCACATTGGAGTCCTGCTGGGGCAGTGGGTGATGCGTGGGGCTGCTAGCTGGAGGGTCAGCAGTTTGAAACCACCCGCTGCTCCGTGGCAGAAGGACGAGGGTCTCCGCACCGGTGAAAGGTGGGTCTGACACCCACGGGGGCAGTTCTACCCTGGCCTGGCGGTCCCTGCGTGTCCGCATGGGCTCCCTGGCAGGAGGTTTGGTCTGCTCCTGTCAGAACATCATCGTCCCACGAGCAGCTCCGGGAATCAGGAAGACAGGCGGGAGAAGTGCGTGGAAAGCCTGGGTTTTATGCTTTGGCAACTTTGACCAAGAACTGGTACCAGCTCCGCTTTTAAAATCCAAATTCCTGAAGGACGACTCCACTCACTCCCTGCTAACGCACAAGCCGGGGGTGGAAAGCATCTAATGACCCCCACCACCCCGTGTGCGTTTTCTCGAGAGAATGAGTCAGCTGGGCTCTCCGGCCTCACACCTCGGGGGCGTGTCTCGCTGCAGAAAGGAAGGATGACCACAGAGGAATGGGAAGACAACCGCCCCCGCAGCGCCTTCAAAAGAGCAGTGCTTGGCGCTCATGGAGCTCAAGGCACAGGGCGCAGCAGCTCACCAAGGCCCCTGCCCCGCGTGAACACAACCACAATCCAGGCGCTTCTAGAAACATGCGATTGCTTTTAATGACTTGTGTATAAAAGAAAAATAGATTTTAAGATACAATTTGATCAACTGCTTCATACAAAATGTTCACTTGAGCACTACAAGTGCGATTTCCGGTGAGACACACACAGAAAGCGGTTCACAGATGCGCAGTAATGCCCTGTCTGGGCTTGGCAGAAACTGAGGCCCACAGGCCGCACACAGGAGGTAGGAGACATGTACAGGTGCTCCAGCCCCCGAGGGCCCTGTGGGCAAGCTGGGCCACTGGGATCTTCAAGACGGCGGCTTCCGCACCTGCTCTGGGCCTTCTTCAACTCACATGGCCCAGAGCCCCTCAGTCCAGGGCTTCATCTGGAAATGGCACTGAAGCAAGACAGGTCCCGCCAGGGGTGACACTCCCCCAGCCGCAGCCTCGGGCGCAGCCACGGACTGGCTGGGGCAGGCCCATCTCTGACCAGTGCCAGAGTGAGGTTCCGGGGCTCGGTTTTCACAGAGCCGGCATCGAGCCCCCAGTGCAGGGTCCCTTTACAACAGCCGACACGTGGGGAACAGAACCGAAACCAGGCGTGAAAGTAAAACACAGACAACCTTTGCGCAAAGACCAACTCCCAGCAACAAAGGGAACACCGGACTGCCCCTCCGGTGGTCCCGCAGCCCCTGGATCTCCTTGGGTAAAAGCCCCTGTGCAGTGGGGAGGGGCAGGGCCAGGGGCTCTCCTTAAAGGGGCAGAAGGGGCCCGTCCCGGGGGCCACAGCAGCATCTGTTTGCAGGCGGAAGCCAGGGCGCCATGTGGGGGGGCAGAGAGGGATCGCCTGAGACAACGGCCCATCCACACTGTTGAGGAGTCTGTGTGCTCAGCCGGTGGGACCACAGGCGCACTGCATCGGCCCGTGACTGGCGGTCCACTCCCCGACAG